GGAGCTGGGAGGGAGGGGAAAAATGAGGAGCTGATGCTAGGGGCTTAGGTGGAGAGCCAATGTTTTGAGAATGATGAGGGCAATGAATATATGGATGTGCTTTACTCAATTGATGTATGTATGGGTTGTGACAAGAGTTGTATGAGCCCCTAATTGAATGATTTTTTTAAAAAGAGCCAAGTCTCAGCATCTTACATAGGCTTGCTGTGAGTCAGAATGCATTCAAGAGCGGCGGGTTTGGTTTGCTGGGTTAGTTCAACAAGGACCTCTGCTAATGCAGTGATTCAGTGCTTGGCTGCCAACCCAAAGGTCAGCAGTTCAAACCCACCAGCTGCCCCAGGGGAGCACAACGTAGCCATCGGCTCAGATTTTTTGGCTTTGGAGGCTCTGTGGAACTCTAAAGTTCTAGGCTACCCTTGGCTCGTTATGACAGAGAATACTTTTTTTCATGAGTTTTTAAATTGTGAATTAGGGAGGGGGCTTACATTTTAGATGATCAGTTATGCATTCTGCAGTTCAAACCACTCATCAACTCCTCCAGAATTCTAAACGCCCCGCATCCCCAATCTCCCTCCTCCCTGGAGGGAGGACCTCCATCCCCCCTTTCACCCAAGCCAACACCTGTCAACCTGCTAATCGGTTGCTTCATCTGCCCTCCTTGGCCCTCCCCTACCTCCAAAGTCTGTCCCCTTTGGAATGCCCATTGCCGTCTTGGTTTTTATCCTCCTGGGAGTGGTCTCCTGCAATATTTGCCCTTTTGTGTGAGGGATGAACTTCATGTGAGTTGGAATTGAATGGAAGATGATGGGCTTTTGACTTTCGTACGAGAAAAGGTTTGGCGTTTCTTCAATGCTATCAAAGCTACACCTGCAGCCGGTGAAGGTGATGATGCTGAAGACTCTGTTGCACAAGTGTTTCCAAGTGTAGGCACATTTGCATATCATAAAAGGGCAAGGTGAGGAGGGAGGGTAGAGATGGAGGTAGTGCCTGTGTGAACTGAAAGCCCGGGAACCTCTTGAATGTCCAGAGCAGAGCAATATTCTTCCAACCTGATTACCCCTCGCCCCGGTCCTTCCTCCTCTGCTTCAGACAGCTCTCATGGTACCTTCTAGGGGCTCCCCCCCCCCTCCCCCCGTTCCCATCACCTTCCACCTCCACCCTTCAAGGGACAAGCTAGAGCCCTTCCTCTGGCCTGACTATGTTTGGTGTTATGTGAGCCGGTAACAACCTAGGCAGGTGCCGCCCTAAGGGCCTCTGGTAGATGACATCATCTTGTCTTCTGTGCGGTAAGGCTTCCGGCAATGTGGGTGCGTACTATTCTACTAGCTCCCTCTTAGCCGTGAGTGAAGAGGACCCCAGAGCTTCTGGAAGGTGGGGAGCCTGCAGGTGGGGGAAGGTGGAGGCCTCTGGCCGGAGTTCAGCTCAGCTTACTTTCAGACTCCAGGTGCAGCTGTTTCTCCCCTAGCCTCCTCTGGGCCAATTTAAGGAGGTTTGTTGGGGCGGCTGAGCAATGATTTCTCGTCACCATGCCCCTCCCCAAGGTGCTTCTGCTGGCGATTCTAGTCCTGATGTTTGGTAAGTTCTGAGGGATGGGCTCAGCTGGGGAGCCCCTCCAGCCCTCCTGGTCTTGAGCTAACCCTCCCCTGCCAGCCGTGGATCTGGGCCTTCCCCTGCAGGGTAAGTCAGGGGCTGAGCTGCAAGAGCGGGACTTGGGAGGAGCCAGCTCTCTTACTGGCCAAGAGCCTTCTACAGGGTACCACCCCACACTCTGTCCAGCCTCACAGGGTCCCATGCCCCTGGGCCTTCCTTGCTTTTGCCTCACCGAGGGTTGAGGACACGGAGGGCCCTGGGGCATCCGTTTCTCTGCTCACCTCTGCACACTGCCTCTGGGGAGCCTTCTAGGAGCCCAGGGCAGTCAGGTCAGCCCGGTGGAGTCCGGGGACCACCCAGTCCTTTCCACTGGCCTCTGGGGCAGGGTCTGCCATGCAAACACCAGCCTGTGCCTTAGATTCCATTGCTGCTATCCAGTGGCTCCCCATTCCTCGGGACCCTGTGCGACAGAGTGGAACTGCCCCAAAGCAGTTCTCAAGTCACCTGGAGCCTGCCCCACCAGTGTGGGAGAGGGCTCGGAACACCAACATCCCAGATCACGCAACCACGGTACCACCGGGCTTCCTTCAGTTCCACTCCCCTCTCTGTTTGCCGATGAGCCCACAGGGTAAAATGAATAAAGTGGGTAAAACAGACAAGCATGGACAGGAGAGTGAAGCAGTGGAGACCAGCGATGGGAAGAAACAGGAGGGAGGTCTTTGTGGAGCTATAGCCAGGGTTTGCTGATGGGGATGGGAGATACGGCAGATAGATACTGGGGATGCCCCTGACATGATGGATGGAACTGACATCATTGTACACGTGATTAATGCTGAATTGGTAAATCTTGTGTTAACCCCGTGTTTTACCATCATTTTTTTAAAAAATTAAAGGCCATGCTGGGTGAGTGCATTTATGTATACCTGCTCACAAGGCCAGGTGCTCACCCCAACAAAAAGTTCTAACTCTGGGCAGAGGGGAGGGGTGGGTTACCCTGGTCTTCACTGCACACCAGTTGGCACTATCTGCATCTTGCCATTAAAGAGCACTAAGCTCTTAAAATGCCCTGCTTGGGTGCTTCATTCTGAGCTCTGGGGCTCACAGCTACCTGCACCGGTAGGGGGTGGGGGGAGTGTCGTGGGACTCGCCGGTTTCACTTTCCACACCTGCAAAGTGGGGGTGGTGGCGAGGTCCCCAGAGGGTGTGTGGGATGCCCAGGGCCATCACAGGCGCCTGGGAAGGTGATTCTGATGATGCTGATTGGCACATTCCCGCCAGTCTGGATATTGAGCCAGTTTCACCTCGCCGCCGCCTCCTGCTCGTTTCCATTGGTAGTCAGGCAGCCTCGGCAGCCCCAGCTGCTGCCCTGGCCGGTGAGCCACAGCTCGGCTGCAGTGAGCCCAACACACATGCCACCCAGCCTGCTCAAGGACTCCTTCACGGGGCCTTCACAGCCCGTCATGCGGGTGGTGCTCCGGGTGCCGAAAGGTGAGTCCTCTGGGAGTGGGCGATGGACCCCCTTAGGGCTGTCCCGTGGAGGAGGGGTTGAGAGTGGGTGAGGCTGCTTCATCTTGTCACTGCTCTTGGCCTGCCCTCGTATTTGATGCATGAGCAACCTAGGGCAAGAGGACCAATGCTCAGTCACCTCTCGGAGCCTCTATATGGCCCCATCTATAAAATGGGCATGAAGCTCCTTGTGGACCGTTGAGGATCCGCTGTACAACAGCGGTGACCTGCGAGGCCCACAGTGGGAGTCTGCCGCGGGGGGCGGGGGTGGGGGGTACGCGTATTTGCTAGAAATAGCCCCCTCCTCCTCTTTGTTTAGATGCTCAGTCGACCTCCTATGTGGAAGGCTCCTTTATGACCTTGGAGGCCAGCATCCAGCCGGCGCTCAACTGGACCCGGAAGCTCTATGTGGATGAGTGTGTGGGCACCCAGAGCCAGCAACTGAACCATTCCCAGAGGCTGTACACCCTCATCTTCAACTACGGGTATGAGGGGCTGCCTGGGGCGGGGGGAGGCTGGCACAGACTCTTCCTTCCCTGGGTCTTGGCTTGACTGGGTCGTTGGGGAGCTTGCGTGCTCAGGTCTATCTGGAGTGCGTGCGTGCGTGCGAACCCACAGCCATGGAGTCCATGCAAACTTTTAACCCTATGGGGCAGATGTCCTGCAGAGTCCCATTGTCTTTCCGGAACCAATGGCCAGGGATGGAGCCTATTGAGAGGCTCCATCCCTGGCCATCAATGGGACTCTGCTCTGCAGGATGTCCAAGCCTGTCAATCTCTTCCAGAAGCAGACTGCCATGTCACGCTCCTGTGCCACGCTGGCAGGTTTGACTGTTGGCCTTTTGGTGCGCAGTTGAGCGCTTAACCGCGGTGCCACCAGGGTTTCTGCGGTATCCGAAGAGAGATGTTAAGGACACCTGGCTAGAAAGCTGGCCCTTGGCAAGGAATTGAGTTTGGCCTGCGACTCCTTCCCTTGCCTGGGACTGGACCTGCCCACTGGGGTGGGTGTGTGAGTGGGTGGGAGCGTGCTTGACTGCACAGACTGGGGGGCTGCCCTTCTCGGCAAAGGTGCAGGCCATTGAGTGGCCGGCATCACCTCGGAATCTTATTCCTTGTGACTGATGTTGAAACGAGTGGCCTTTGCTTGGGCTAAACATGTCTACGGGTCTGCCTCCTCTCTCTACCATGGCAGTGGATGCCCTTCACTATAGCAGTGAGACCCACACAGTGTAAGCCTCTCCTGTTTCCCCAGCACCCCTACTGGTGCCTCAGCTGACCCACTTGGCTCCCCCCAACCTCCCCACCCCCCAGGTGCCTCTCAATAGGCTCCATCCCTGGCCATTGGTTCCGGAAAGACAATGGGACTGTGCAGTTCAGCGTGGGAGCCTTCATGCTCCAAGATGATGTGGATGAGAGTGAGGTGAGCCGCTCCGGGACGGGGCCCAGGCCCGGTTGGAGTCTGGGCTTCTTCGATCCCCTCTATATCCCCTCTAAGGGCTGTTGGGGTTCGAGTGGAGTGACCAGATTGAACAAAGAAAAATGCGGGCTGCCTCCTGAGGCGTGAACTTGGGCTCAGCAAGGAGTGTTTTATTTTGGGGGATTAGGTTTGTGCCAGGTAGGATTAGGTTGGGCATTTTAGAAACTGTTTTGTCCTCCACTCCTAATATCATTTCTATGATTAAGAAATCATGTTGCTATGGTCACTTATGAACATTAACAGCTACCTGGAGCCCAGCTGTCTGGCCCAGTGGTAACATGATCAGTTAGTTACTGCTGGAGTTACCCAAACAGTCAAGTCTGTCCCTCTTTAAAACCAAGGTACCTTCTGCCGTGGGCACCCACGTTTCAGAGAGTAAAATCATGGGCCAGGAACACTGGAGATCTCTGTCCCTCCCGGGCCCGGCGGAAGGGGGTGGCAGCAGGGGTTCAGTGGGAGGAGTCTTGCCTTCGTCTGGGAGACCCATGTTTAACACACCTCACACATGTCACTGCTTAGCTGTTTGCTAGTGGAGGCTTTTGCACTGCTGAGACGTTGAGAAGATTTCAGCAACGCTTCCAGGCTACGGACTGAGGAAGCAAGACCTGGTGAACTTCTTTTGGAAACCAGCCCTCTGGATCACAGTGGGCTGATTTGTCCCCAGTCCTGCAGAGGGTACAGCACTGGCAGCATTTTGTCCCATGAGTTGATTTTGAGGGCTGTGAACACCCACCCCTTGTGCCCTTCGCTGTGAATTTGATTCTCTTGCTTGTTGTTTAAGAGTCCTCCCTAGGGCTTTCTTAGCTTTAATCTTTGCAGGAGCCCTGGTGGTGTCGTGGTTAGGTGTTGGGCTGCCATCTGCATGGTCCGCAGTTCAAAACCACGAGCAGCTCCACCCCTGGAAAAAGACGGGGCTTTCTTTCTGCCACAAACAGTCTTGGAAGCGCACAGGTGGCCCCTGTGACTGACTCGGTGGCCATAAGGATGGTCTTTGCAGAAGCAGGTCCCCAGACCTCCCTTCCTGTGCTGCTGTTCAGTGCTCAAGCACCAACCATTGTTCCACCGGGTGCCACTAACAGCAATTGGAGCCTCTTAGGGCCTGGGCTGGGTCACAAGGATAAATGGATGGAATGTTGTTCAAGGCAGGGTGGAGTGCCCTGGGACCCCAGGGGCAGGGGTGGTGGTGGTGGGCAGGGGGGAGGAGCCCCTTCCCCTGGACAGTGGAATTCAAGTTCTTGCCTGCTCTTTCCTTCAGATCTTTGTCACCTGCTGGGTAAGCATCTGGAGCTGGAGGAGGCGCTATGGCCATAGCAGGAAGTCCTGTTTCTACAACGCCACCTCACACAGGTGACCTGCCCCAGCCCCACCTCTTCAAGCTTCCCCTTTCTGAGCCTCAGGGCCACCTGAGTGTGGACGGAGGGGAGAGGCTCTGTTGGGATCCTGCACCTGATTATGGGCAGTCTTTGCCCTGGAAATGGAGGTGGCCTTACTGGGGACAAGACACCCCCCTCCCCCCTAGAGAAGGAAGGTGCAGAGAGGCCAAGTGATTGCCTGCGGTCACGTAGCTCCTTGCCCGGTCTAGACGGGGACCCAGGGGCAGCCTCTCTTCTGGGCTGAGGTGTCCCTTTGCCCTCTACTGACTGGACATGTCTTTCTGTCTTGACCCCTGGCAGCTGGCAATTTGCAAACAATGAGGGGGACAGTTCACTCTGTGATTGCTGTGACTTTGGTTGTCCCCCCCCAAAGAAAGGGCAGCACAAAGGTACCATTTGGGGTTGGGGGTTGAGGCCAGGGAGGCTGTTGGGGATGTGACTGTCCTACTCTGGGCTCTGCCGGGAAGTGGGAATGGACGATCTCGTTCCTTGGGTCTCTCTCCCCCACCCTCTGGGACCCTTTCTTGCCCCCCCTAGAGAAGAGAAGAATGAGCCAGTGCTAATGGTCTCCCTTCCACAGAGTTCCCGCAAGAAGGGGAGTCCCAGATGGTGGTAATGGGACCACTGAAGGTCAGGAAACCACCGGCGGTGTCATGGTTTAGAGGTAGGCCCCTGCTGTCCAGGCTCATGGGCAGTTCTTGATGTGACCACTGCCTGCCTGTTGCCCCCAAGCAGCCCGACCTCCCACCTGCTCCTGGCGTATCTTAGTTCCCTGGTGTCTGACTGGACTCTTGGACCGCTCTGGCTGGGTGTTTCACCGGTGCTACTGCCCACTTCCTCCCAGCCTCCTGCAGGACACTGAAGGAGCTGCTGCTGGTGGCCCTGGCCTTCACGTGTGTGGCCCTGCTCTTCCTACTGATCCTGAGGACCCTACTGTGGGCCCAGCTGCCCTGTCTTCCTGTCCGCAGGCAGAGCAGGCTGAGGAGGTCGAGCCTCACAAGTCTAGAGTCTCCGGAGATGGACTTGATAGTGAGGGACAGATGCTCATCTGGGGAGGAGAATGAGGCATCTCCTTCTACCGTAGAGGAAAGCCTGTAGCTGATGGCATTGCAGCCAGGAGATACCTAAGCTCCGTGCCTTTTATCTGTTCAATAAAACGTTCGGTTTCCCTGGTGCTTGGCCTGGCCTTAACTCGTCTCTGCACTCGCTGTGATTGGTACTGTTATGCAAGGACATGCCGGCCTTACTTGCATGGCATGACGGCAGATTCTCAGAGAAGCCCAGTGCTGTGGGATTCTGGGACAGGCGAGATGCAGAGCTGGGGCCTAACTCCTTGTACCTCATTCTTTAGCCGGCCACCACCGCGGGGAACCTCCTCCTGGATGGGCCAGGCTGAGCAGCCCTGTCCCTCTGGTGCACCCTAGTGGCGAGTGGAGTCATCCTCTCCTAAGACATACCTGTTCCAAACTGGGGGTGCTTGGTCACCATCTTCCAAGAGGGTCTTCCTTTGTTCCCTACCCCGCTTATAAGGTGACCAGATGAAATGCAGGCTGCCCAGTTAAATTTGAGTTTCTGATCGTTTCGGTGCAAGTCCCAGATATTGCCTGAGTGTTGATTCCCACCCCCTGAATTTGACAGGGTCCCCTTCCCCGCCCCACCCCCCGCCCCCTCCTTCCTGAGCCCAGAAAATAAGGCTTGGCCTGCCCTGGCAGGTTCCCACAGGAAGGGATGAGGAGGTGGCCTTGTCTCCTACCCCCGGACACAGATGGAAAGTGCTTACAGGGTAGCCCCATCATGTGCTTTGCTTGGAGCTGGGCCCCAGAGTCCCCCTGTGCCTCACACCAGGGGGTTGGGGTGGGGCTGGCCAGCAGGAGTACTAGCCAGGGTGGGGTGGGGATGGATGGTTGGTTCCAATTGACTTCATGGATGTCATATGATGCTCTTCTGGGAACTGGGGTTCCAGCCAGGGTCTCTGCACACCTGTCTTGGAGTGGGAAGCTTGCTTAAGCATGGTGGGTTTCTGCCACCTCTGCCCACAGACAGGCTGGAGAGGTGTCGCTCCTGGAAGATCTCGGACAAGCCAGGTGCTTCTGTCCCTATCTGTGAAGGAGGATCTTAGGTATGGAAACCGATGGCTCTGGACGCAGGAGAAAGAAACACCCTGGGCTTTAGATTTTACACTGAGAGCCGTGTGATGCTGGGCCAGTGCTTCACCTCTTGTGAGTTTCTGCAGCCTTATGCATGGTCTTAGGGCCAGAGTAAGGGAACGGTGCCTGCCTACCATGATGGAACATTTCAATGAAAGAAACCCTTAGAAGAATCCTGATCTTAAGTGGGGGGAGAAAGATAGGACAGATTTCAAATTCTCATGGAACCCCGGTTCCACAGAGGCTGGATGAACCCCTGTAAGGACGGCTCTGGCCAAACTCTTCTGAAGTGGCCTTAACATTAAACAATAGTTTATCTTAACTCTCTAACATGAATCTCGACCTTGAACCTTGTACTGTTTGAAGCTCATCTCCATGATTAGATAGGAGCTCGAGGGGCCATTAGTTTATGCTAATGAGGGAGGGGCAACGCAGAGAGGGAGTGAGAATGGCTGGCGACTTGCAGACTGCACGCAGTGTCCCTGAGAGGCACCCGGAGAAGCATGGCTGAGCGTCTTGGCTGTGTGTGGATTAACAAGGGAGACAGCAACGGGAGCGAGCGGTTTCGGGCTGAGGGTAACCCGAACCCACCAGCACTGGGCCGGTGGTGTCTGGCTTAGAGAGCACTCACAAGGACAGCTGTGGATTTATTGTTATTGCCAAGTGGGCGTTAGAGCTCCTTTGCTTCCCAGAAAGCCGCTTGATTACGTGAAACACAAACTGTGAGCTCTAGGGGGAGCGGGGGAGAATGGCAGGTGAGGAAAGCTGTGTGATACCAGACGTAGCACCTCCTGTCAAAGGGTCATGGCCCTGTGGCTGCCCCCCATCCCCCACAAAAAATATTCATTCACTGACAGAAACGAGGTAGGGCTGGGTCACCTGGTTCTTTCAGGAGACAGTCCGTCTCCACCTTGCCTTGGTGGCCCCTGTCCAAGGTGCTGAAACTGGCCTTGACCTGGGCTCCACCCCATCCTGCACACCCATGCGTCACCGCGTCCCACTGCCCAGCTCTCCTTTCAAAGCCACACACATGCACTGGGTGTGGTAGTGGACAGTGAAGAGCGCGTGGTTTGAACCCACCCGGAGCAAGGCCTGACCACTGCTCTGTTAAAACTCGCAGTCTTGGAAAACCTAGGGGGCAATTGTTGCTTAGGGTTGCTATGTATTGGAATCTATGCAACAGCACACCCACCACCAACAACAAATGGACAGGGGGTGGGGTGGGGTGCAAATGAATTTAGACCACTCTCCAAGTCAAGGGAGCTCACAGCCTACAAGGAAGGTAATTGGGTCACTTACAAACGTCTTACAAGAGCTCAGGACAAAGGTGAGGGGCTTCATTTTCCTATTTCTTGAGGGGTTCAGTGACATCTCATCTCTTACTTCACCCTTTTCACTCTTCTAAAGCATTGCTATCCTCCACGGCTGTGCCTCTCATATCTTTCCTAATCTGACCACAGCATGTGGATCTTCCACAAGGCAGCCCTTCCCACAGAGTCTGGAGGACTAATGATCAGGTGGTGGGGGTTGGGAAGGATGGCTAGATAGACAGATGGTAGAAAGCAGGGGGATCTTGGAAGTGCGCCATCTAGACAGGGGTCAGCTCCTTGTCGTACTTCTGCATGCCCTCGTCCGGGAGAAGCACCTCCACCGTAAAGCTGACCTTCTTGGTGTGAACAAAGCTGTAGGTGTTGTCAAAGCGCAGGACATCTGGAGGGCAGATGGGCAGATGGGCCATTGGGCCAGGAACCCTGCTCCTGCATGTCTGCCCCTGCTACAGGGGAGGCAGGCTTGTGTTCCCACTGGCTTGGTTTACCAAATCGGTTCAAGTTAGCACCACCACCCCCTCCCTCCTTTGGGGACTGCTTGACACCTGGGCAGGGCCTGTAAACAGACACTGACCTCCCCCTGGCATCATGCCCAGGCTGGCCGTTGTTGCACCAAGTGATAGTGGGAGCAGCAGCGGTTGAGTACCATTGTCTCCATACCTGGATGCTCACATGATGCGGCTGGAGCGGGGAGCCCGCCTCCCACCCCCCAGAGGCCTCTTGGTTCCCTTGGGCAAAGTGGGGTGTTAGGCCAGGCTACCACACACCCTCTGCCTCACAACCACCCCAAGAGACAGATTATAAACCCTACTCCCTGATGAGCAACTAACTCAGGGCTCCAGGCTGGTAAGACATTGGTGCAAAGGGTTAATGGGTTTGGCAGCTGACTGAAAGGGACGGGGTGGGTCCACCCAGAGGTACCTCAGAGGAAAAGCCTGGCATGCAGCTCCCCAAAAGCCAGCCGTTGGAAACTCTGGGGTTGGTTATGCTGTTACCTCGAGTGGAGGCAGACCCTGGCTGCACCCCCGGCTGCCCAGCGGGGTCACTCTGCAGTTCTGGATGCACTGTTGTGCTTCTCAGAACCCCAGTTTCCTCATGGGGAAACTGTTGGTAGAGGGGTGACTCACAGGGGCCCCAGGGTGGCAGAGGGCGCTGCTGCTCCTCCTCCTCCGGGCTTTCAAAGCTGGGACCTTTTGGAAGCAGATTTCTAGTCCTAGTCACCGGTGCCACCCCCCGAGGCTCCACAGAGAAGGTGATGCCTGCCCCATGGTCCCCTGTCTGTGCCTTGTGGTCATCAAACCCTTCGGGGCCCGGGTATCCGAGTCCTCCTGCCTCTTGGCACATAGGAGGAGGTCCCGACATGCAATGAATGACTGGCCATGTGAACGGATGGCGCTGCCCTAGGTGTGCGTCCTGGGCAGGTGCAGGAGGGGGCGCGGTGGGGCATTGCCCGGATGTCTTTCCTCTCAGCAGACTAGCCGTTTGCACCAAAGGCCAGGGCCCAGCAGGACAGACTTACAGACTCCGGCTTCCGAGCAGGTGAGGCTTCCGTCCTCGGGCACCATGTGGGCGTTGTAGCGCTGGCTGGTCAGCACCTCGGTCATCTCACCGGCCCGCTGCCGCTCCCCCATCTTGGTCTTCAGGAAGACCCCGAAGCCGATGTCGGCCCCGTCTGAAGAGAACTGCCACCTGTGTGGTCGGGTTTAGTTTCTGCTCAGCCTGGCGGGTCCCCCAGGCTGGGGACTCAGGCGGCATTGGGCTGGCGGCCTGCCCCTACCTCAGGACACATCCAGGGAACAGGATCTCGTACTCCACCTGGTGCGAGGAGCCGCGGCTGATCTGCACCGAGTGCTCATACTGGGTCTTCACTTGGTCCCGCACGTACATGGACTTGGGGATCTCCCCGCCATAGTTGATCTGTGAACACAGGTGGACGTGTCCCTTTCTGGTCATCGCTCATCGTCCATCTCCTGCCTGAGCCACCGTCACCCTCTGCAAGAAGTAGCCTGCCCATCCTGCCCCTCTCTCTCTCTCTGGGAAGCCAGCCCTACCCTCTAAGGTCTCCTCTGGGCCCTGATAGATCCCCAGCCTGCTCTTTCGGCTCATCCTTATGGGTCAATAGCCCCTTGTGTCTTCTTTGCCTCTACACAGCAGCTGAGAGCCATAGGAGGCAGAATCAGAGCAATCTTGCTCAATATCGGACTCACAGGGTTCCCTCCACAGATGCTTGCAGCTCTGTTTCCCTCCCCTGTCTTGGGGTTCCTTATACCTTGGTTAAACATTTGGGGTTTCCATCTGGGTCAGTCAGGGTTCCCCCAAACTGGGCGGGCAATTCCTCGGGACTGATGAGCTTCAGCAAACCTTCCTTCCAGTTGTCTGGGAGCAAGAAGAATGAAGGGTGGTTATCAGACATAGAAGGGACGCATCAGGCCCCTATATGTACCAGGAGAAGCCATGAGAGGCAAGGAGGCCAGGATCCATTTACCCAAATCCTGGGCCTTGGACAGGAAGTGTCTTCCAGCCTACAGCAACGTGTTGCTATAGAAACACATTTCTCCCGGACTGAAGGTTTGCACAAACCCACACCCGCTGCTGTAGAGTTCTGATTCATGGCCTCCCTACATAGGGTTTCCAGGCTTTCTAAATCTTTATGGAGCAGACAGCCTCGCCTCTCTCCCGCAGAGCAGTGGGTGGGTTTGAACCGACAACCTTGAGCATAGCAGTCCATGCTTAGTTGAGGCTCTCTGATCCTGTAAAGATTTATAGCCACGGAAACCCGAAGGGGCAGTCCCGCTCTATCCCAGGTGGCAGTGAGTCATAATCAACCTGATGGCACAGAGTTTGTTGTTTGGAGGAAGGTCCGCACGTCTTTGTTTTAAGGAAACATTTTTTTTCCTAAATGGTGGCAAATTATATATGGACATAATTGTACACGTGTGCACATATGTAACAAAATCGTTTCCATTTCAACGTTTTTTTACCTGTTAGGTCCGTGATACGAATTATGCTCACCATGCTGTCCACCATGCCCCTACCTGCTTCGAATCTCTTTAAGATCACTCGGTGCCCCTTTCAGGACGTGCACCTTCTTGAAGGTCACCCCGTCATGAGTACTACAGAGAAGGGTTTGTCTAATTGTCTCAAGGAGACCGAAGGCCAAGTGGGGTCAAAGATCCTGTTGGGGGTCGCATAGTGAATGAGTGACCCACCTCAGTCAGACCTCTTGGTGGAAGATGGGAACTCTGGGTCTTTGGGTGGCTGCTCCTTCACCATAATGGACCCCGCTGTGCTTCATACCCCATGCAAAGCTCAGGGTTTGGGATCCTGGAGTTTTTCCCCTGTCCTGAGGCCCACGTCCAATCTAGGCTACCCACTCTATCCCCGAGCCACGGGAGATTTCTCGCCTCCAGGATAGGTGAAGACCACAGTTCCTGGCACCTCGTGGTCAAATGCACGGATCTCCTTGGGACACCCAAATGGGGTAGAGGGCCTGGACTTGGGTCCTGGAGTGTGACAGCCTAACCCACACTGCTTCCAGATTCAGCAGGGACCTAGGAGCATCTAACCAGGCTGCTTTGCGGGACATTAAGCTCCCTGTCCCAGTGGAACTAGACGACGACGCAGAGGCCCAGGAATCAGGAAAAGAAGGAAAGCAGACCCTTAACACCCCGCCCACCCTCAGATCCCCTGATCCCAGGATCCGACTGTCCTGCTTAGACGTTACTCTCCCAGCAGAAGTTCATTGCTTTGGGCTGAAGAACGGTTTCCCTTCTCTTTCGTTCTCTTGCTCTATCACTTTTCAACATAATGTTCCTGAACTTGTAAAATTAACACATGCTCATTGTCCAAAATTGAGAACATACAGAAAAGCGCAAAGAATAAAATCTAAAACCGCATGCTTCCTCACCATTCACAATGCGTCTTGTGTTTCCGTCTCGAGAGATCTATTTGTTTGCGCACATAGACGCCCCCCGTGGCACCCATATCACTTTACAGCCAGCTGCTTTCATTCAATGCCATTTCCCATCACATGAAATATCCACCCCCAGCACTATTTCCCATCTCTGCCCACAGATCCGTCAAATGGATGCACCAGGATATCGGTATCCAGGCCCCGATTCCTCCTCTTCATAACTCACCCTTCTTCCCCATCCTCCTCCTCCTAGATCGTCATTCCTCAGGTAATAAGCACGGAAAGGAAACTGAGGCCCTAGCCCAGAGGCTGCTCAGCAATCAAATGGAAACGGATGAGGATGTGGGTGGAGAGACCTCAGTCATCTCAGGGGTATGGTAGGGAATAGAACGTGGGTAGCTGAATAAAGCTGACTATTGGAAAGGAGGGCCCTCTGAATCGAAGTGAGAGGTGGAGTTAGGGTTGATGTGATGGGCCAACCTCCCTCCACAGCCAATGCCCAGAGCCCAGCAGATGGTGCTGGCAAGACTTACTTCCCAGGACAATGATTTTCCTGCGGGTGTCTTCACTCAAGAAGGGCTTCATGAGGTTGTAGCCCACGGGGAACAGCTTGGTGGCTGGAGAGACACAAGCAAGGATAATGAGGAGAGAAGCATTCCACTGAGCCCATGAGCCACTCTCCACATGCCATAGCCAGCGATATGGGGTAGTCATGAGTAATGATGACCAGTCCTAATGCCCTGCACTCACCCACCCAACCAACTAACCAGTCAATTGGCCAGATCAGTTAACAATCAGCCAACTAACCATTCAATGAAAGATCCAACCTATCAGCTTATCAGCACATAACCCAATCAATCAAACTGCAAATCAGCTACGTAATCGCCCAACTAACAATGAGTTAATCTACCAACTAGCTAGCTATCCATCTGCCAAGCCAACAAACTCATTCTCTTTTTTTTTCTTTTAAAAATCATTTTATTCGGGGCTCCTACAGCTCATCACATTCCATCATCCATTGTGTCAAGCACATTTGTACATATGTTGCTATCATCATTTTCAAAACATTTTCTTTCTACTTGAGCCCTTGGTATCAGCTCCTCATTTACCCCCCCTCCCTCATGAACCATTGATAATTTATTTTAAAAAATTCATGTCTTACAGTGACCCCTGTCTCCCTTCACCCACTTCTCTGTTGTCCATCTCCCTGGGAGGGGGCTATATGTAGATCATTGTGATCCAGTTCCCCCTTTCTGGCCCCACCTTCCCCTTCCCCTCCTGGTATTGGTCCTGAGAGGTTTATCTTTCCTGGATTCCCTGAGTTTTGAGCTCTTATCTGTACCAGTGCACCTGCTCTGGTCTAACCAGATTTGTATTTGTAAGGTAGAAGTGGGGTCATGATGTGGGAGTGGGAGGGAGCATTAATGAACTAGAGGAAAGTTGTATGTTCCATCAGTGTTATACTGCACCCTGACTGGCTCATCTCTTCCTTGTGACCCTTCTGTAAGGGGATGTCCAATTGTCTACAGATGGGCTTTGGATCTCCATTCTGTGCTTCCCCTCATTCACATTGCTATAAATTTTTGTTCTGGGTCATTGATGCCTGAAACCTGATCCCATTAACACCTCATGATCACACAGGCTGGTGTGCTTTTTCCATTTGGGCTTTGTTACTTCTCAGCTAGATGGCTACTTGTTTATCTTCAATCCTTTACGACCCCAGACACTATATCTTTTTTTTTAATGCTATATATTTTGATAGCTGGGCACCATCAGCTTTCTTTACCACATTTGCTTATGGACCCATTTTGTCTTCAGTGATCCTGTTGGGAAGGTGAGCATCACAGAATGCTGGGTTAACTAGAACAAAGTGTTCTTGCATTGAGGTAGTAGTTGAGTAGAGGCCCACTGTCATCTGCTACCTTAACACTTAACCTACACATATATGTACATAGATCTATTTCCCTATTGTTATATATTTACATATGCACATGCCTGTTTTTAGGCCTCTATAAATGTCCTTTGCCTCCTAGTTCTTTTCTCTATTTCCTTTTACTTTCCTCTTGTCCCACTATCATGTTCAGCCTTCATTTGGGTTTCAGTAATTCCTCTCAGTTACATTGCCCTTGGTCAAGCCCCACCAGGCATCCTATGCCCTCCTCGCCATCGATTTTAGATCCCTCGTTGTTTGTTCCCTTGTCCCTGGGTTTGTTGACACCTCCCTTCCTCTCCCCCACCGCCTCCTCTCCCATGTCCCCCTGGAACCATCGGTTCCATTGGTTTCTCATCCGGATTGTTATCCCGTCTAGCTTATCTAGGTAGACCTGCAGAGACAATAGTAAGCACAAAAATAAGACAGAGCAAAAGAAAACAACAAACCAATGACAAAAGATAAGAAAAGAAAAGAAATGTCTATAAATAGTTCCAGGTCTGTTTGTTGGCCTTTAGGAGTGTTTTTTGGTGGAGTCTGATAGGGCGCCAAGCTCTGGCCCCCAAAGTCTATTTTTGGTAATCCTTGGAGACTTCATTGCTTTGCTCCCCTTGCTGCTTTGTTGCAGGGCCTTAGCATTTCCGCCCTGGTGTGGTGGGCTCAGATTGGGCACAATTCCTGCACTGTGTCTCCAGTGTTGTCCCCTGTAGTCTGTGGGTCAATGAGGGATGCCGTGTCTTGTGGTGGGGTCGGCCCTATGGTCCTCTGGGCATTGGCTGCTCTGCCAACTCACTTTCTGTTCAATCATTCAATCCTCTAACCAACCAATCATCAAACTCACTTAAATAGCTAAATCCCACTAAATATCTAAACAGCTACCTAACCAATGATCCAAGCATGGCAACCGTCAACTAAACTATCAGCTAATCAACCAACAAACTTCCTTCTCTAGCCAGTCAACCATTCAAACAATCAGATGGCCAATCATCCAAGAGTCAGTCCCCAAACAAATCATCTACTCAACTAAATAATCTGCCAGCCAGTCAACCAACCAATCATATAGCCACCCAGTCAATCCACGAGCCAACCAACCAACCAGTTCCCTAGTCGACTAGGCAACCAACAAAGCCTCCTGTTGATCAACTAGCAAATCAAACAGTTAATCATCTGCCTGCCCAAATAACAACCGCACGTACTCAAATATACAGTGACCACCCACCATGGCCCCAGGTCCATGGGGAATTCAGTAGAGGTGGAAAATCAGAGCCCCTGCCCTCAAAGAGAAGACAATCCAGCTAGGCCAACTCTAGGAATAAGAGAACTGGAGGTCCCCACAAGGCAGTCAGCAGGTAAGGCGAACTTGAACTGCACTCTGACAGTGCCAGAGAAGTCTGAGGAAGGAAAGCGCAACATGGGCAAGAGAAGTAAGGAGGGGTTATTCCTGGAAGAGCTGCAAGGGGGCGCTGGCTTCCTTGGAGCAAGACCAACCATGGCGGTCACCACTTATCGAGCGTGTACTCTGTGCGTGTCTCTAAGTGAGTTGCATGCGGCCAACCTCCAACCTGCCTCCCAACAACTCTGAGGAGAAGGCACGATTGTCATCCCATTGCAGATGAGGAAATAGCACAGAAGAATGACGTCACTTGTCACACACCTTTCACGATGAGCATGAACTTCAGAGTCTCTGGATAATTCTCTTCAAGAAGTCCAAAGAACTGTGGAACCAAGAGAGACCCATCAGAGCCCATGCCTCACTTTCTCCTGTTCCCAGTTCCTCTGCAGAGGAGGGGGTGTGGGGGGTGGGGGGTGGGAGTGGGGGAGTATTCTTCTTGTCACCACCCCAGCTGGCCTCTGAAGGTCACCATCTCTCTTTAGGCCAGTGGTTCTCAACCTGTGGGTCTCAAGCCCTTTGGAAGTCGAATGACCTTATCACAGGAGTCTCCCGATTCATAGCAGTAGCAAAATGACAGTGATGAAGTAGCAACAAACATAATCTTATGGTTGGGGGGGTCACCACAATATGAGAAACTGTATAAAAGGGTCGCGGCCTTAGGAAGGTTCAGAACCACGGCTTTAGACTATTACAATCGTAACGTGATAATTATTACATAATATTCCATTGTTCAAGTAAATGCTGTAGTCGTGATAATGGAGCAGTAATAGTAATGACTACTGCTTATGAAATGTTCCCTGCTTGCCAAGTACTGTGCATCCACTTTCCATATCGCCTCTCTGAAGTATTCCTCTGAGAAGCAAACGAATGCTTTCCCCTTTTTGTAGAGGAGGAAACCGAAGCAGGGAGGGTGGGCAACTTGCTCAAGTCACAGAGTCCGCGGGGCTGGCAGGGCTGGGCTAGGGCTGGCCACGGCAGCCCTGTGGGCTCAGTAGTGCCGTCCAGGAGTCTGTTCTGTGGGGTCTTCTTTTTTTTTTTTTTT